AAACTCCTATCTTTGCCCCTTCACCTCTCTCCATCACTCCTCCCCCCTCTGCTTCTCCGTCTTGCAGAGGTTTACTTCCGCGTCCTGCCTGTGGTGGCGCTGTGCCTTCGTGCTGCACCTCGTCATTACCCTAACCCTCAGACGTGAATCATTTTGTCAACTTCACTCTGTCAGATACACAGTACCTGTAAATGTCTATTTTATTTTCTGCCTCCCCCCTCGTCTCCCCCCTCGTCTCCCCCCTCCCTCCTCAGAGGCCTTGGCATTGTCTTACCCCTGGGACTGCTATGTCTTCGCCCTGGCTGTTTTCGTGACGCTGACCAATCAGATCCATAAGTGGAGCCACTCCTACTTCGGCCTCCCACGCTGGGTCACTCTCCTCCAGGACTGGCATCTGGTGTTGCCACGGAAACACCACCGCATCCACCACGTCTCGCCGCACGAAACCTACTACTGCATCACCACAGGTGAGGACCGGCAGTTTTAGAGCCCCGCCCACTCCACGTTGACAGATCGAGAGAGTTTTTCTAAAAGAATTATAATAAATATTTCATATTTTATAAAAATATTTTATATTCAACGTTCCGTCACAAAACTGATTTATTGATCGATGGTAATAAAACTACAAATCCGTGGAATAACTACATGCTTCCTGCAATAGCTCCATGCACCATAATGGGACCTCGCCCCCCACTTTGTGAACCACTGGACAAAGGTCTGGTCAGAGGATCAGAAAATTGCGGTCGTCATAGACATATTGATCGGAGACGGTGAAACTCTGTAAACTTCTCTCCTGTTCACACCGATTTCTAAAATCCAGAGCTCAGAGGAGTCGTGGATTCACTGAAGTCTTTATTATTAGGTTTATTGTGTTAACGTGAGACTTTGATTTTTAAAAATCCTTTATTTGAATTTATGTAAATGACACAGACGGCAGCAGCGGTACCCGAGCAGCCTCTGTGTCTCTCTGAGCTAAAAACAACGATCGTCTCCGAGGACTTTGGTGCTGGAAATGAAGAGATTGAACTGTTTTAGAGTCGGGGAAATATACTGTGATGATTAAGATTTAAGATTTGACGAGATTCAAAGTAAGGATGTCCGATATTAGCTTTTTGACGATATCCGATTAAACATTTAATTTCCGATTCCCATATCAACCAATACCGATATAGTGGGGCAGTGGTGGCCTGGTGGTGAAGGAAGGTAAGTGTCGCCTGTTCACTAAGGTGATGAGTTAAAGCAGTGTTTCTCAATTATTTTCTGCCATGCCCCCCCTAGAGGACAGAAAGTTTTTCACTCACCTGAATTGAAATACTATTCAGGGCCTGGTGATATTTATTTATTTATCTGTTCAAACCACCGTATGAGTTTCTGGCACCAACGTTCTACAGACAATCCCCTGATTATTAAAATAGATTAATAAAATGAGCTGCAATGCTGCCATCTAGTGGCTTTCACTTGCATATACAGCTGTTTTTCCCCAAAACAGTTTTTAAGTCACACATCATTTGGCCAAACCCAGACATTGCGTTATCGTTTTTTCCTCCGATAACGAAAATTTTTGCTAATGCTAACATCGAGCCGATAATATTGATCACCTGATAATATCAGATATTCCTAATTTAAAGTTGATTCTTTTTTTTAAATATTGTTTTATTTTCCTTTGTCCACCCCTGGGGGTCCACGTTCTCCATGTGATCTGGTTCCTGGTCTCAGGACTGTTTTTTTCATCTAATCTGACCAGAACCAGAACTCCAGGGTTCTGAGCTAACGCCGCCGAGTGCCGACATTTTAGATCATTAAAATTCCAGATGAAAACTCCGGAGTGATTTTTCTTGGCAACTCTCGGCAGATTTAAACAAAATGGCATCTGCGTCTGTGTGTCTGTCGGCTCCTTATAAATAACTAAAAAGCAAATGTTCCGTTTTCGTGCGCGTTTGTCTTTGGAGACGCGCGGCCTGTGTGAAACATCCACGCTGCTCAGTATTCTGTGTGCGTCTGGGTGAGGAAGGGGGAGAGAAGAGGGAGGATACACAGGGGGGATGCAGCTTGTACGTCACCCTGCGCCCCTGTGGACGACAGATGTGTGGGTGAGCCAGTGTGTGTGTGTGTGTGTGGGGGGGGGGGGGGGGGGGTTGGCACGGGGAAAAGTCTGTGTGTGTGTGTTTTTTTTTTTTGTCTTTTCTTTTCCTTTTTTTTTACCAACACACTGGTGGGTACATCTGCATACTGTGTGTGTGTGTGTGTGTGT